AAGGCGAAGTCACTTGGAGCCAAGCCTCCTCTTGAAGAAGGGGAACCTTAAGAAGAAGAAAAAAAATAAAAAGAAGGAAAAGAGGAAGGGTTCAAACAAATATCTAAACTATGTTTATGCGTTCCTCTCCATTCAAAGTTTGGAAACACAAAGAAATTAGGGTCTTGATACCCACTTAAAATGATGTCTATGGTGTAAAAAGAAGGGCGAAAATATCATAAAGAAACTATTTTCCCAAAACATTTAAAGTCCTTAGGTTAAGTTACAGAATTTCAAGTTTAAGGAAAATTATGTGATTATGAAAATAAAGTATCTAAAATACCAAAAGCAACTCTTCACCTCATTGACTATCACTTGATTTATGAGAGCCAAACTTACGCGAGACTCAATTAGTCTCTTGGAGGACGTGTTTAATGGATAGAATGAAGCAAGTCCCGAGGTCATGACTTTGGCTAGACCAATAATCTCGTCCTTCTCAACTCCACAGCCTGTGCGTCGTTCCCACACCTCAACTGCGATGAAGGCCTTTGCTAAGCGAGTCATCTGCTCCTACAGAGACAAAGACTTAAACAAGTGATTATACTTAAAGAGAAGGTACAAACGCACTCGTGTTTCACCTCCGAAAGCATAGCAGAAACTCTAAGCCCAAAGTGGAAGGTTGGTGTGGCTCCAGAGCCCCAAGAAATAGCGGAGTGAAAGCGTTTAGTCTTGTGAACGATTCGTTGGTCTGCAAGAGTCTCCTCGTTGCACCAAGGGATTCGTACGACGAGGAAGGAATGCTGTAGACGGCCGGTTTTTTGAGGCAAACGAAGATCGCGTGCTTCGCGTACGTTCAGTAGAACATCGAGTTGAAAGGGGTTGGGTAGTAAGACACCTTTTAAGTTCGTAGAAGGCAAGGCTTCGCCCTGATTAAACAAGTTTTCCTGCATGTTACTGGTTTTTTGTACCTGTGGAACGAACAATAGTACAGTTCTATGATCAAGGTGGAATCTTGCGAAACAGTTCTAAGGGTCAACCAAACAACTCTCAATATCACCTTCTTAAACTATGGGTTTCTTGATGGAAAATGTCATAGTTTATTAACCACACCTAAATTTGTAAAGTCATGGTCACATTTAGTTAAATACATAAAGTGTAGGCAATACAAAAAGAAGTTACGAATACGATACTACAGCATCAGTTGATTCCACTTTACATTCAATGTGGAAACTGTCACCGTAAATACAGGGGACGATCATCAAAGCAAAACACGAACAATGAAGAAACTATTTGTTTTAATGATTATGTGATCGTTCGAGCGCATATCGTACGACATCAGTTTCAAGTCCTCCTGTATTTCCGGACTAAAACGCCTTATTGACTACTGTGGCGTTTAAAATGTTTTCAGGAGAAATTAAGCACTCAAAACTCACTGCATGTGGCATCAAATTGTTGACAGGTGTCCTCCAAACCGGTTCCACATTTATGAAACCGAAGGAGTTTTTCAACAGACTTTTCGAGTCCCTTTCTCCCAGTAGTTCCACCAGAAGTTGCCTCACTGGCTCTGTAAAATCAATGCACACTCGAAGAGTCTTTGGTGAAGCCTTCGGTGTTTCGGAAGGATTGGAAGTCGATGATTGGTAGAGAGAGGAGACTAGAGCATTGAATGGTAATTCAATGCTGCCAACAAGCTAATTTTCGAAAGAAAATGTTGTCACTCATACTTTG